TAGCGCTAAGGTGACTCCCATACCTTAACGTAGACTTAAGGTAGTCTTAGCGCTAAGGTGACTCCCATACCTTAACGTAGACTTAAGGTAGTCTTAGCGCTAAGGTGACTCCCATACCTTAACGTAGACTTAAGGTAATATTAGCGCTAAGGTGACTCCCATACCTTAACGTAGACTTAAGGTAGTCTTAGCGCTAAGGTGACTCCCATACCTTAACGTAGACTTAAGGTAGTCTTAGCGCTAAGGTGACTCAAATACCTTAACGTAGACTTAAGGTAGTATTAGCGCTGAGGTTGTTTTGTACAATGGCACCAAGGTCTCCAGCAAACAGATTTTCATAAGGAAATGAAAATGGAAACCTGCATGCAGGTGAATTCCTCATTTAGCTCACCTGATCAATATTGGGATTATGCCATAGATTGTTGTTCATTGTCCCATTGTGATCCTTTGCCCTTTGCGTTCTTTGTCACTTTTGATGTCAGGATAACGAGTGTGTACAGCATCATCATAGAACTCAGACTTATCAAAGAAGAACAACAAATCAACATGATAGCCATGATCAAGTTGTGAAGATATGTTTCCCAATCATATTCTTTGGCACAATATGGTATCAGCAAAGCGACATCAGTATTTGTTTTATCTCTGTATTATTGTATTGCGATTGTAATACAAATATTTATAACTTGATGACTGGTCTTTGTTTCCTCTGAGGTAAAGCGTCTGTGTACAAGTATTCAGCAGCGTCCGTACGTACCACATATCAGAAGTACTTACGTCCCGCTTCTTGTTAACGCGATATCTCATGAACTGTGTGTACCCACTGTTTTCAAATTTGGTGACCGCCTTCATTGGGGGAATCAGTCGATTTGGGTGACCTTGACCTTATTTCCAAGGTCACCACGACACTTTGACCACTTTTCAAACTGTTGTTAACGCGATATCCCATGCATGTAGGTGACAGCCTACATTGGGGGATTACGCAGGCACCAGTCGACTTGGGTGACCGTGACCTTATCTTTAAGGTCATCATGACACTTTTACAACTTTGCAAGCTTATGTAAACGCGATATCTCATAAAACGTTCCACCCAATGCTTCAATTATATGGACAGTCTACATTGGGCCATTACGCAGACACTAGTCATTTCAGGGTGACCTTGACCTTATTTTCAAGGTCACATGGTTGACCGTGAGACACTAGTCATTTCAGGGTGACCTTGACCTTATTTTCAAGGTCACATGACTCTTTTTCAAAATCTTGTTAACGCAACATCCCAGGAACCATTACACCCGAAGTCAAGCGTGTTATTTTTTATGCAGCCTTCATCTCATTCTCAACTGAACTTAGTACTAACATAGCGGGTATCGGGGTAGGGTAGGGTAATAGGGGGTAGGTTACACGGGTAGAAAATCTGGACCCGTCCCAGCCCAAATATACACTGATACTGACAGTGGATATGTGCATCTTCACCTATACATTCAAATCTACTATATTCCTGAAATAGAGTTGGGAGAAGATTCGGAGCAGTGACCATGACTAAAAATGTATAGAACCTGACTGACATGATCAGTCGGAGAGACGGTCTCCAGTGTAGGTGACGGGACTAGATCATCGACAGAAGCGGACGGATTGTGCAGCTAGTCGCGGCGTCTGCCAAGGCCGTCGCCTCACCTACGACTACGTCGACGATGAAGAATCGCCATCCGACTTCTCTATGTGTGCAAGTGACGGAGTGGGTCTCGGCACCGGGTACACTGACCACTCGGTCCCGGTGTGCGTTCTGTCACGTATTTACAATCAACTTGTACTGTTTCGACCATTATTCCCCTACCATAAGAAACATGGCAGCTGTCGTCTTCAACTCTTTACACCTAACTTCCGTTGATTTCCGTTGTTAACCATCCTGAACTGCCTTCCGAGGGCACAATCGAACCTCTTGGTCACAAGCATTGGTCACCGAAGACCAGTTCTATAATAGATCGACTCGGGTTTAATCCTGAGTCGTGAAAGACACATCTGTGTTATTCCCAGCTAAAATGAATTGAACTCTATGTGGAAACAATAATTAGAAACAGCTCTGTATAATAACACTTTTTATTCCATGGCCTATGACACAACTACACAATGGACAGAAAACTGTACAAGAAATCCTCCTTTTACTAGCTATGTGCTTTGTCATACGCCCCCAATGCGGGTCAGAAAATCGTTAATAGTAGGGGCTGGATAGTAAACAGGGGCTTAATTTATCGATTTTCTGAACCGCAGTGTGGGCATATGGTGCTTTGCAATATATATACACAAAAGTCGACATCGTAACACAAACATTACACCGTGTTTCCACTTTCACCCACATACATACTTCAGCAGTCTAGGTTGTTGTCATAAATAAGTAGACATTCTTCTGCGTTCGGATCATACCCATACAACATGCGGGAAACTTGCAAATCTGATCATTCTCATACCATTATTACAAAGATGGTTTCCGGAATTTCCAGTTTGGCGATGCCAGTGACCTTTTCATAACGGGATGTGAAAAGATCAGGAAAGACATGTCGAAGAGAGCGCAAGAGTATCTTCAAGTCCTGACCGACTGACTGATTTTGGTTTTACGCCGCTTTTACCAATATTCCAGCAATATCACGGCGGGGGACACCAGAAATGGGCTTCACACATTGTACCCATGTGGGGATTCGAACCCGGGTCTTCGGCGTGACGAGCCAACGCTTTAACCATTAGGCTACCCCACCTCCCCTTCAAGTCCTGAAGGGATCAATAGTATCTTAGCTGCCCGCTTACTAAGGCACTGCCACTAATATATACGTCTACTATCAGGAGATTGTTGGGTTGCATTTAACTGAATTCAGAAATGGATTTTAAAGAAGTACCGATTTGATTATACATTTTCAATTTAGAATTCACTGAGATGGATGTTCCCCGGTTGTATTATGAATGCCGTATTGTCAAAATCGCAATTCAATGTCACAGAGCACGTTTAGAAGATAATCTTAAAGGTAATATTTTATGGAACAGTCTTTGCAATTGTTTGTCTTATTGCGAATGTGCGGGCGAGCTTGCGTGTGTGTGTTTAGCGTTGCACTCACAACTATTCCAGCTGTGTCATCTGTAAAAATCGAGTCTGACCAAACAATACAACGATCGGAATCACATACACGCGTATATAGATTTGTGCATATGGGATATGATCACATGCAATCCACGTAATATCCCGATCTTATTACAACCATCTGTTACTTGGGGCTTTCATCCAACCTGGATCCCAAGCCAGTTGATTGCATTGTTTACGGTGTAGAGAACAGATCGTATATATAAACAACGATCTGTTCGTGTTCGTGGGTGTTTAAAATATGAAGTCAACATTCATGGACCCGAAATCGTTAATCAAACGTACATAAACGTGATTCATGCCGTAAAGTATTGACCGCCAGTATTAACGCTGTGAGACCTCGCAATCATAAAATACTAATTTGCACATATGGCGACAAATCCTCCACATTGTTATGACGTCATATGTTACTGCTCAGCCACACCCTACCATTGTAGCTAGGAATGCATCATTACGACGGCGGAGGCCCATTTCTCCTTATTGATTTAGGTAATTGTAGATGACAGCTATATTTGACGCAGGTGTCTCTTACACCAACCCACCGCACCAACAGCCAGCAATCTGTGCACACAGTAACCCCCCTCCCCCCCACACACACACACAAACACGCACAACCACACACTTACCAACACCAAACCCAAACTTTTTTTTTCCACATACCCTCCATCTGCCCATCCTCCAACATACCACCCCGTCCATCTGCCCATCCTTCAACAAACCACCCGTCCATCTGCCCATCCTCAACATACCACCCCGTCCATTTGCCCATTCTCGAACACACTACCCTGTCCATCTAACCATCATCCAACACACCAACCCATCCATCTACCCATTCTCCAACGCACTACCCTGTCCATATGCCCATCCTCCAACACACCACCCTGTCCATCTGCCCATCCTCCAACATACCGCCCCATCCATCTGCCAATCATCCAACACACCAACCCATCCATCTACCCATTCTCCAACACACCAACCCATCCATGTACCCATTCTCCAACATACTACCCTGTCCATATGCCCATCCTCCAACACACCACCCCGTCCATCTGCCCATCCTACAACATAACGCCCCATCCATCTGCCCATCCTTCAATACACCACTCTGTCCATCTGTCTATCCTCCAACATACCGCCCCATCCATCTGCCCATCCTTCAATACACCACCCTGTCCATCTGTTCACTAATCCAGGATGTACTCAACTGTCTTTTAGAGTTACTTGTAGAAAATTGAAAAGAAAGGTCAAGTCCAATTTTCAAGTTTGTACAATGTTTTGCCCTGCACTTTAGAGTAACAGTGGTAGGTAACTATGCCGTAAGTAATATGCCGCCTTATGATTAAGTACTTAACAATAACCCGTGAACGTCAGGGTTAGAATATTGATTTTCAGCAACCCATGCTTGTCATAACAGGTAACTAACGGGATCGGGTGGTCAAGCTCGCTGACTTGGTTGACACATGTCATCGGTTCCAAATTGCGCAGATCGATGCTCATGCTGTTGATCACTGGATTGTCTGGTCCAGACTCGATTATTTACAGACCGCCGCCATATCACTGGAATATTGCTGAGTGCGGCGTAAAACTAAACTCACTAACTCACAGAACTGATTGCGACACATTTGCAACATACCAACCGCAATGTTGTATCTCGAATTCATCATTCAAGGTTACATTCTCCGGATATTTGCGATGATTCCGAAATGGAACGACAAAGGGGGAATAAGTCAGTTGGTTTTCTTCGCCTGCTGTTATGCCTCCTACAAACACGCGTGCATAATTCTAACCTCCAAAATAATTACGTAATTAGATAATTCCGTTGACCAACAGTCCCTCAAGTAGGGTGGGTTGATGTGCCATCTCTTTTCGTTCATGTCCCACACCAATCCGATTGACAACTTATATCGCTTCCCTGCTACGTTCTATCCTCACTAGAACACAGTGCTTCAGCCAAATATCCATGGAAGTGTCTGTGATGAACATCTACTCCCGAAAGTCTCACACAGGACATTTTGTATTGAAGACTAAGACTTCAAGTAAATACCCCGGGTTTAAAAGTTCATGCAAATGCAAACCGGGAATCGGGATGCCTCTTCGTACTCACTCCGAAGATCCAGGACCGCGCCTTCTCTCAAACCCTCAAAAACAGGATCTCATAGGTCTGAGGTCTTTGTTCTCCAAAATTGGATTTGATTTGGATGTTATCAGCATTCGTACGTGCAATTCTGAAACCGTCTATGTATATATCTCGCATCAACATCAGATAGTTCATGTATTCTTCCTGGGTCGGCTCTGTCCTACTTTGGGACAAGACGTGAATCTCGAGAAGAAACTGTTTCACCTTGCCCATAACTCCGCTCTGGAACATTTCCGGTATCGCTCGCCATTCGTTGTCTTCGATATCCACTTTCAGTATATTGATAACCTGTGACATGAAGTCAGAACTGGTTAATTCGTGTTTTTATGAAAAGGAGAAAGGGGATGGTTTGGATCCTATACAGGATTACGATAAAGCTGCTTATGGGGAATAAGGAAGTTGCATGAAGTAAACCAGTAGAGGAATGTTCATACCAGTTTGTGGGTATTCTATGGCACTGTACAAGTCATCCTCATATTATTTCTTACGGCGTCGCAGGCAAAGGTTTCTTATTTTGGTATAATATGTTATTGTACGGGGTATTGTGTTGGGGATTGGGCAGATGGACGGGGTGCTATATTGGAATAAGGGCAGATGGATGGGATGGGGTGCTGTATCGGAGGATGGGCATATGGGCGGGCCGCTGAGCTGGAGGATTGACAGATTGATGGGGTACTAAGTTGAAAGATGGGAAGATGGACGGGGTGGTGGGTTGGAGGATGGGTAGATGGATGGGACGGCATGTTGGAGGATCGGTAGATGACAGGGTACTGTATTTAAGGATGGCAGATGGATGGGGTGGTATGTTGGAAGATGGGCCGATGGATGGGGTGGTATGTTGGAGGATGGGCAGATGGATGGGGTGGTGTGTTGGACGAGCGGCAGATGGACGGGATTGCGTGTTGGATTATGGGCTGATGGACGGGGTGGTGTGTTGGAGGATGAGCAGATGGATGGGGTGGGGTAATGTGTTGGAGGATGGGCAGATCGATGGGTGGTGTATTGAAGGATGGGCAGATGGATGGATAATGTATTGAAGGATGGACAGATGGATGGGTGGTGCATTGAAGGATGGGCAGATGGATGGGTTGGTGTGTTGGAGGATGGGCAGATGACCGGGTTGTGTGTTGGAGGATGGGCACATGGACTGGGTACTGTATTGGATGGGCAGTTGTGTGTGTGTTGGATGATGGGTGGCACGCTGTGTTGGTTGATGAGTAGATGGGCGGGACTGACAGATGGGGAGATGGACCGGGACCTGTATTGGTGGATGGGGAGATTGACGGGGTAGTGTGTTGGTGGATGGGGAGATTGACGGGGCCCTGTATTGGCGGATGGGGAGATGGACGGGGTACTGTATTGGCCAATGCGGAGATTGACGGAGTACTGTATTAGTGGATGGGGAGATTGACGGGGTAGTGTATTGGTGGATGGGCAGATGGACGGGTCCTGTATTGGTGGATGGGCAGATGGACGGGTCCTGTATTGGCGGATGGGGAGATGGACGGGGTACTGTATTGGCCAATGCGGAGATTGACGGAGTACTGTATTAGCGGATGGGGAGATTGACGGGATAGTGTATTGCTGGATGGGCAGATGCACGGGGTGGTGTATTGGCGGATGGGGAGATTGACGGGGCCCTGTATTGGCGGATGGGGAGATTGACGGGGTACTGTATTTGCGGATGGGGAGATTGACAGGCCCTGTATTGGCGGATAGGGAGATGGACGGGGCCCTGTATTGGCGGATGGGGAGATGGACGGGCCCTGTATTGGCGGATGGGGAGATGGACGAGGCCCTGTATTGGAGGATGGGGAGATTGACGGGGTACTGTGTAAGAGGACACACATATGACAGCGATGCCATAGTGTTTTGATTTATGAATGGGTTTAGTTTTGAACGAGTGAGTGAGTGAGTTTAGTTTACGCCGCACTCAACAATATTCAAGCTATATGGCGGAGGTTTGTAAATAATCGAGTCTGGACCAGACAATCCAGTGGTCAACAGCATGAGCATCGATCTGCGCAATTGGGAACCGATGACATGTGTCAACCAAGTGAGCGAGCCTGACCACCCGATCCTGTTAGTCGCCTCTTATGACAAGCATAGTCGCTTTTTTGTGGCAAGCATGGGTTGCTGAAGACCTATTCTACCCCGGATCTTCACGGGTCGGTTGCTGAAGACCTATTCTACCCCGGATCTTCACGGGTCTTGTTTTCAACGAGAGGCAGTTATAGTAAGTTACCAAAACATCTCCGTATTCACACTTCACCTACATCATATACCTAGTTCCATATTTAAAACGGGATCGGGTGGTCAGGCTCGCTTACCTGCTTGACACTTGTCATCGTATCCCAGTGGCGAAGATTGATGCTCATATTGTTGATCACCGGATTGTCTCGTCCAGATTCACTCATTCACTCTTATTTAAACTTGACTCTTTATAGATCAATCACCTACCTCAGTATGGAACAATTCGTTCTTGACAGTGGCCAGAGTTCGAACCTTCCAGCCGCTTGGTGTTCGGCCGTTGTCCGAGGACAGCGTGAGAGCGTGGATGGTCACTCCCGATTTGCGTTTCAGCCCGTCCATTATCTTCATCCTGGGAAGAGGAAAGTGTAATTATGTATGTGCTTATAACTGTCATTATGGCGTGGAAGGTTAAGGTTTAAGAATAAAACGTGTCACATATAAACGCGTTCACTTGTCACGATAAACGGAGATCTTGTTGACACGGTACTCTCAGAGAAAGAGGCGTCTTAGGGGTGACAGGGGAGACGAACCTTTGATCTATAGAGCAGGATAGTCAGAAACATGTCTCTGCTTGTGGGTTCAGCCAAGAGTGAGTAAGTGAGTGAGTTTAGTTTTACGCCGCACTCAGCAATATTCCAGCTATATGGTGGTGGTCTGTAAATAATAGAGTCTGGACCAGACAATCCAGTGATCAACAGGATGAGCATCGATCTGCGTAGTTGGGAACCGATGACATGTGTCAACCAAGTTAACGAGCCTGACGATCGGATCCCGTTAGTCGCCTCTTACGATAAGCATGGGTTACTGAAGATCAAAATTCTAACCCGGACCTTCACGGGTGGGTTCAGCCAAGAGGTAAACTTCGGGTTTTACTCCCACTGTAAGCTAACACACGGTTATACTGTTCAAAGCTTAATTTTGCGCACGCAGGGGCTCGTAAGGCTAAAAACTGCCATCAAGGTATGTACTGTCACTAAGGGGGTCTTAGCATTATATAAAAGGACCCCGTGCTTAAGACGCCGTTAGTAACACTACATACCTTGATGGGAGTTTTTAGCATTACGAGCCAATGTGATTGCCATTCACCCAAAGCTGAAATATTGCTATGAAATTCATTAAATGATACCATCACTCATACTTCTAAATCAGGCTTACTTCATTTCCGATATAAACATTAGGCCAACACCAAGTCTGTGATAATGAATCAAATTACTCTTGTGATTACAATATGAGCATTGAGAGCCTAAGGAAAATCTAAGCTTGCTTAATGGTAGGTTTTGCATTACAGAAAGGGTTGGAAAGAAAGGAAATTGATATGGTCCAAGGACTGAGACTTCACCAGTATCAGACATGAAATCTGTATGTAGCCGGATTTTCCCAACAAAGCAGTGCCATGGCGACATTGATTGCACGAAAGATAACATAGTTACGAATCACAAACTAATCGTGAATCTCAAGTCGAACCCGTGTCGCCATGGCCCGTCGCCGCCATGCAGTCGACAGACGCGGGTCAAGGTCAGATCCTTGTCAGTGATCGAGTCATTCGTAACTACTCGTGTCATTCCGGCAAGCCTTCTTGTAGGTCACGGAAAGAGGCGAGTAGTTACGAATGTGACCGAGTTAGTTTAGTATTATGTGGCTTTAGCACTATTCCTGCAATATCACGGTAAGGGACAAATGAAGTGGGCATCACTCATTGTGCCAATATGGCGAATCGAACCCGGGTCTTCGGCGTCACGAGCGAACGCTTAAGCTACTAAGCTACCCCACCGGCCGATCTTATCAGCACGCATTCTACAATCAAATTACGCACGCACCCATGTGCTTCGCCTTGCGTACAACAGCTTAACACAGTATGATATGGCATTGGGGTTTTAGGGCGACTTGAACCATTAGAGGTCTATTTGCGTCCAACATCGACGGTACGGTAACCTTGTGGTTCAGTCGTCACGCCGAGGACCCGGATGTAATTTACCACCTGGGTACAATGCGTGAAGCCCATTTCTGGTGTCCCCCGCCGTGATTGTTAGAAATATTGGCGGAGTAAACCTAACTCACTTACATCAAAGGACTTTAAACAATAGCACATTGAACAATAGCAATGAAAAGATTCACCAACCTGCATCTTAATTTTAATTTTAATTTTAATTTGTATTCTGTATTCTGCATCTTAATTTTAAAATTAAAAAGCAGATCAAACAAAACGTCAAACGTTGAAATGGCTTGAAAATCATTACAAATGAATAAACATATGAGATTTTTATATTACATCATTTTCATGATGCAGTCACGAAGTCTAATACTGCCAGCTGAACTGAGGCATAAAATATGTTTGGTCCCACGTGTGTAGAGAAACTGAGCTTTCTTTCTCCATTACTGCTCTTCTTAAATTTAATCTGGTATGACTGAAGTCTGGGCACTCAATTAGATAAAGTCTCGAGACACAATACATACAGGGGATACACCTGTATCAGCGATAGTGCTGTGAGCATTAATCCACTGTGTCCAAGATGACGTCTAGTAATTATGACTTCCTTGTGGTCCTTGCGTCGACGAACATTCTAATTTGATTTAACAGAAGGGCGGACGGTGTGAATGTGTCGGCCAGCTGTCCCAGCATCCCACAACTGTTGCCAGCTTGAAGTGACTGATTTTACTAAAAAGGAGACCAAACCGTTTAGTTGGGGGTCTGTATTCTGTATTCAGATTCTGCAAGTTGGTCAGCTCTCATTTCCCTGCAGCCCAACATGAGCTGGGATCCACTCTATAAAACTTTGAGTTTAAATTTGGATCCAGCTTCAATATGTCATATACAATGTTATTTCGTGATCTATTGCTACCAGATTCGAACAGTAAATGTGACTGCCTCATGATCATATTCATGAGTGAGTTTAGTTTTACGCCGCACTCAACAATATTCCAGCTATATGGCGGAGGTCTGTAAATAATCGAGTCTGGACCACACAATCCAGTGATCAACTGCATGAGCATCGATCTGCGCAGTTGGGAACCGATGACATGTGTCAACCAAGCCAGCGAGCCTGACCACCCGACCCCGTTAGTCGCCTCTTACGACAAGCATGGGTTCATTCTAACCCGGACCTTCACGGGTCTCTATGGGACATGAAGTCTAGCCATATGTTCAGCAGCAAATACTGAGAGATGGTCATTTAGCCTGAACACACAACAGATATAAAAATCGGGTATACCATAGCAGTTCGAACCAACGCCTAGCAGAAAAATATTGACCAATGCGAACTTGAACAATGAAACGAACAAATCCATTTGAACATTTTGCCTTTTATAGTGCATTAACCTTCTGAAAATTGGTCACAGTACTTTGGTCAGTGCCTATACCAGGTATTGGACAACTGAAAGGAGTACCCTCGATGCTTTTGACTTTGGACAAAATAGATGATAATGCATAATTAATTATAATTACTCCTGCCTGGGCAGTTCTTTATGAACACATCCAGATCACAGTGAAGTGAAGTAAGGCAAACCCTATTGTGAGCTCGTTTCCTTTCTTTATTTGTCATTTTACATTCATCATTTGAGAGAGTAGATCGCTTACTTGGCGATTTTCCAATGGTTGCAAGGGATGTTTCAAAGATTTGTGAAGTAATGACATTATGTTATCATTCGAAACATCAACGGCTTTGTTTATCATTCCAGATGTTATATGTTTCCCACAGAGAGAAGAACACTACGATCGCTTTGCATGTTTAAATTTCCATCGGGAACGTGTATATTCGTAAGATCTAAGCGGACTTGATTATCACTACCTACTTCTTTGAAATAAATCTCACTTACATTCAGAAGCTAATGGGGATGATATAATCGGAAGAATATACCCATGGCCCAAAATCCACTTTGGTCAATTTACCATCATTCAAAATCGCCATTTCTGAATGATCTAAAAGGTCTTCAGCAACCGTTCCATTGTAGTCTGTAGTCGTTCCATTATAAAACTTCCCCACAAAACATTTTTACCATTAAAATCTCAACAAAGGAAATAAGGATCATAACCATCCTCCATCAATTTCATATAATAGTTTATAATGGGTTTTCCAGTGACGTGAACATTAATCGCTGTGACATATTTAGTTTCGTCAAAGAAACTTTCAACAGCATTTGATTCAAAAACAACTTAGGCAACTTATGCTCCTTGAAGTACAAATCCCCAATGAGGATTTGTGACATTTGGATTGCTCATAATTCTATCCTGATTGAAACTGACATAACCCTTGGTTTTGGTATTGGTCTCCGGTAAAAAGAAGACACTGCTTCCTTATGTTTTCACAGCCTCGGTACTCAGCACTGTGATTTCTTCCACACCTTGACACACCATCAACCCTACAAGTCCCCACTACATCTTGTACATACAGGATATTTACTCTTGCACCGCAAAGACATGTGGCCAAACAGTTGACAATTGTAACACCTTATTACCAGTGGTGCGTAAAGACGAGCACGAAATGATTGGACATACGTTCAGGAAGGCGAGGAATGGCAAATGTCAGCAACACAAATGTAGTGGTTTCTTGTCCTTATCTCCCAATAGCTTGTATGACCTTCTGACCTTAAAGTTCATCAACAATTTCAGTTACATCAGCATCATAGTCAACGTTATGTATCACGACTTTGCTTTGGCTCAAACTCTTGGTTGCAACCACTGGTAGTGATGTCATATATCGTACAGCCACCTTCAGTTGATCAAAATATTTTCGAGTCTTTGTATCACTTGATCAACTTTTCTAGTTTGAAATCGACTTCACCAATATATTTTTTTGTGAGCCAGCTATAGCTGTGAACATACGTTTGTACATGTACGTCTCTCGGGTCAACAGACGAAAATAATCAACCTGGTATTTTAATAGCTTATAATCATTTCCGTGTTGCAATATTGCTATATGACTTTGCAAGTCATCAAGCCTCAGATCCCAATTCCGTTATACTTTTGTATACTGTCTTATTATTTGCTTGCTTGAGAGCAGTCATAATCCAGACAGTATGTTTTGTAACGCATGTAATAATACTCACTTTGGATCAAAATAATGAGTTTCACATCCGTATCTCTTAGCAACGTCGTCCTCAAACGAAAAGTCTGAGTCGAATCTGAAAAATTCAACAAAATTCCCTTTTATCTTTACCCTGTGAACCAACTGTATGAACAGAGACGCCTTGGTTTTCAAAGCGTTTTGTATGAAATTAGTTGTCAGCCAGTCAGCTTCTAATTTTTAAGTGGATCTTATGTAAAAGCATTTCCTGGCTTCCCAGTAGCATTTCCCATTACCCAGCTGGTAATACTGTTCAAACTGTTCATACCGAACTTACTGACCCAAAAGTACTTATTCAATCACAGTGGTTCTTTCAAAACATAAAGAGATACAATATGGGCTGCACGAAAAATGTACGTTGATTGATGTATGTGTGCATCGGAGCGAAATGATCTCAATACTGACACACACACTGCTGTCTGGAAAATATAGATGTTGCTGAGGATAGATAGATAGATAGACAGACAGACAGACAGACAGACAGACAGACAGACAGACAGACAGATAGATAGATAGATAGATAGATAGATAGATAGATAGATAGATAGATAGATAGATAGATAGATAGATAGATAGATAGATAGATATAGATAGATAGATAGATAACTAGATAGATAGACATACAGAGTTAACTGTAAACAATGATGCTTTTAACAGTCTGACGGGTATAACGATGGGTTGTTAGCTGGATTTGACGTGATATTGACAGGTAGCTATAGCTATATGGCGCTGGTCCAGGTATCATTTGTACCAGAACCAAGTCACCGGGCCTGACCCCATCTCGTTAGCTGGTATCTCACTGTCATCAGGGACTGTTAAAATAGTTCTAATAGGTAGTTGTTAACTGGATCTTCACGTGCCTGTAGTAGTAGTAATAGTAGTAGTAGCAGTTGTAGTAGTAATAATAACAGCAGTAGATCACTAGCAGTAGTAATAGTAGTTGGTGGTGGTAGGAGTATTAGTAGTCAGAAATTGTAGTAGCAGTAGTAACCGGAAGTAGTAGTAGTAGTAGTAGTAGTAGTAGTAGTAGTAGTAGTAGTAGTAGTATGTAACAGAATCAGATGATTAGAACGTCACAAAAGACTTACGATAGATATCAAAACGCAGTAGTCCCAGACGATGAGAAATAGCTACAGTTCTTGGTGACATTACCACCTCTAGTCGTAGTTGTAGTAGTGATGGTGGTGGTAGTAGTAGAAGTACCAGTTGTTGATGATGTTGTTGATGTATTATTATGTATCTGACGCACCTGTATAATGAGTGTCTGTCCTCCACACTTACCCAAACGAGTACATCAAGCATGGTCGTTCAGGACGGTACCCGTCTGCATGGCACACGTCCCAACCCCCGTGCCCTTTCTTCCCCATGTGGGCGATTATAGCACACTCCGTCTGTGGTACGATGACATAGCTGAAAACAACAGATGGGAGACTGAAATTCACAACTACCTGGCATCGCATACATAATTATTAGCTCAATTAATAGCTCTATTTTTCCGAGGAAATATACTGTAACAATTCTTGTTGAATATTGCCTGACCTGGTGATCTACGTTTAGATTTTACGATCTCTTCAATGACTACATTCTGACATACAACACACTGGAAACGTACCACGGACTTTTGTTAGAGCAGATGGTGATTGCCATGGTAGTTTTACAGAGTTACGCCCCTTGTACAGAAATTTGCAATTTCGCCTTCGCGAAAAATGACAAACCAATCAGTTTAGTTTAGTTTTAGTTTTACAGCCCGCTCAGCAATATTCCAGCTACTAGTATATGGCGGCGGTCTGTAAATCATCAAGTCTGGACCAGACAATCCAGTGATCAACAGCATGAGCATCGATATACGCAACCAAGTCAACGAGCCTGACCACCCGATTCCGCAAACCAATCAGAGCTTTAAGTACTTCGGTTAAAGAATCCTTCAGAATTGTTTTCTAATTTCGCATAGAGAGAGAGAGGTTGTTTATTTAAGTTTCACCACATACAATGCAAAGTGAAAATACATAAAATACATTCAATTTTGTTTTATTTACCATATCGGCTATGAGAGACCTTTTGCATAATATATACTTAAAAACAAATAACAATAAAACAGACATCACATTCATCTCACACACATAACACATTCACACTCTTGTATCTAAATATATATTCAAGACACAGTGTTCGAATCCAGCCATACTCTGTAACAACATATGCATACATATGATATGTTCGATCAGCAAAGATCTTCGAAGAAAGATATACAACGTTATAATTTTAGCTCTTTCATGAAGAAAACTTATTAAAAATCGCTTGCTGAAAAGGATATGACAGTAACGATTTATTTTATACAATTTTCATATCAACCTCAGCACGCCCGAGAAATGTTAGTGGAATGAAATGTTGGGTTTGTTTGTTTGTTTGTTTGTTTGTTTGTTTGACCTTAGAGTTGAATTTTTCTTTTGTTATGTTACCTTGACGTACGGTACTCCAGACAACCACAAACAGTTAAACACTTCATTATGTCTGTGCCCATTTGCTCTACTAAGATTATTTAATTCATAACTAGAGCGTTTACTGCTAAATATAGTTATTCCACCTACCTCAATAGCAAGTATGATACAGAGTCAGGGTTACTGTTGTACTTTTAAAACATGCCTCTCAACAAAGATTCCCGGCAGAACACTCTCTCTCTCCTTTCAAGCGTTTTCTGCATGCATGTAGAAATATTCATAACGATATTCAATTCTTGTGTACAATTAATAATACATTCGTCGTTTCTTGCATTCTGATAAAATAATTTTACATGAAAAAAATTCTTTTAATTCTTACTTGTGGAACGTGGACTCTATTCGTGCATGGCTCCACGTGCTGAGGGTGGCTTTGTCGGGCAGTGCTGCGTCCACTACGCCGGCAGCTCCAGGCGGAGCAACGTTGTTAGCCTTCTTGGCAAATTCTAGTTTTCTTTTCAGAGCAGCAATTTTCTCTTTGTCCTCATTGATTATCCTTGCTACTTCATTTTTATGCATCGCAGGCTCTTTATTAATGTTTTGTACTGGTTGTTTCGCCTTTTCAAATTCAATGTTGTTTTGCACAGCCTTAACTTCGTCCTTGATCTCGGGAACTTTGTTTTCGACCTTGACCTCAGGAACTTTGTTTTCGTCCTTGACCTCAATGATTTGTTTTACGTCCTTGATCTCGGGAATATTACCTGGGTGTACTGGCTTTGGTACATCTTGATGTTCATCATGAACGTCTTCTTCCTGATGATCTATATCAATAACGTCATCCACTTTGACTACATTCCCGAGATGTTTATTTGTATCAATATCTGCTTCGACCTTCACCTCCTCCTCTGCAATATTCACAGGAGGTTCTCTGTCCTGATTGAGTTTTTCCAAGTCTACAGGCTCACGAAATGGTCGCCTTACACGAACCTTTCCCTGGCCAACTGCAAGTTCCTTCCCCCCGTGTGTATCCCAGAATCCACCTCCTTGCTGGACGACCTTTGAACCACCCCCGCCGCCGCCATGTTGCTGCAGGAAAAGGAAAGAGTAAATAAAACCACACTCATACAGTATTGTTTTAACACAACCTTTCAGTTAGTTAAACATAAGTAATGATTATTGATTTGTTTTGGCAAATGTTCTACAACACAAACAAAAACAGTAACTATATAAACAAAGGGAGTTAAGAAATACACAATGCCATTTTAGAAAGTGGTCAAATGTAACATATGTTATATTTGGGATTATACTTTCTCAGTAAAGTACAAATCCTAGTACTTTTTGGGTTGAGTCCCATCCGGGATTCGTACCCACATCCTCAGAGTCAGGCACCTAATCGCCAGCACACAAAAGTCAGACGCCTAGACCGCTCAGCCACCGCGGCTTCCACAAAATGGAAGTCGGACAACTGGTTGTCTAGACTGCGGACTTTGTGTACCCCTCTGAAAAGTGTTAATTGGCACGGCTCCCAGGAACGAAAGCTATGAAATACACAAAGTACTAGAATTTGTACTTTATTGAGAAAGTGTAATCCCAAATATAACATATGTTACGTTTGACCACTTTTTAAAATGGCATTGTGTATTTCATAGCTTTCGTTCCTGGGAGACTTGCTTGTAATGCGGGTTTTTAATTTCAAATTCAAGTTGAAATTCCCCACCTAGAAATGTTTTTCAAAGTGGCATTAATCCAATCTCTCTGACTCAAACTAACAAATGTGAAAACGACTTACCGGCAGTAGAGTCTTTGTTACTATAACAACGATAAGTTCATATCCAAGTGTATATTTTGTTGTTAAACACCGCACACAGAAATAGTCAAACGTGCGTGTAGTATGTGTACTGTTGGTTTAACACCGCACACAGGAATAATACTGCTTGTTTGTTTAACACCGCATACAGGAATAATACTGCTTGTTTGTTGGTTTAACACCGCATACAGGAATAATACTGCTTGTTTGTTGGTTTAACACCGCATACAGGAATAATACTGCTTGTTTGTTGGTTTAACACCACATACAGGAATAATACTGCTTGTTTGTTGGTTTAACACCACATACAGGAATAATACTGCTTGTTTGTTGGTTTAACACCACATGCAGGAATAATACTGCTTGTTTGTTGGTTAAACACCGCATACAGGAACAATACTGATTGTTTGTTGGTTTAACACCGCATACAGGAATAATACTGCTTGTTTGTTGGTTTAACACCGTACACGGGAATAATACTGCTTGTTTGTTGATTTAACACCGCATACAGGAATAATACTGCTTGTTTGTTGGTTTAACACCGCATACAAGAACAATACTGCTTGTTTGTTTAACACCGCATGCAGGAATAATACTGCTTGTTTGTTGGTTTAACACCGCATACAGGAATAATACTGCTTGTTTGTTGGTTTAACACCGCATACAGGAACAATACTGCTTGTTTGTTTGTTTAACACCGCATGCAGGAATAATAATACTGCACCGTTGTTTGTTGGTTTAACACAATAATACTGCTTGTTTGTTTAACACCGCATACAGGAACAATACTGCTTGTTTGTTTGTTTAACACCGCATGCAGGAATAATACTGCTTGTTTGTTGGTTTAACACCGCATACAGGAATAATACTGCTTGTTTGTTGGTTCAACACCACATACAGGAATAATACTGCTTGTTTGTTGGTTAAACACCGCATACAGGAACAATACTGATTGTTTGTTGGTTTAACACCGCATACATAATAATACAGGGGAATAATACTGCTTGTTTGTTGATTTAACACCACATACAGGAATAATATTGCTTGTTTGTTGGTTTAACACCGCATACAGGAATAATACTGCTTGTTTGTTGGTTTAACACCGCATACAGGAATAATACTGCTTGTTTGTTGGTTTAACACCACATACAGGAATAATACTGCTTGTTTGTTGGTTTAACACCGTACACGGGAATAATACTGCTTGTTTGTTGATTTAACACCGCATACAGGAATAATACTGCTTGTTTGTTGGTTTAACACCCCATACAGGAATAATACTGCTTGTTTGTTGGTTAAACACCGCATTTGATTGTTTGTTGGTTTAACACCGCATACAGGAATAATAACACCGTACACGGGAATAATACTGCTTGTTTGTTGATTTAACACCACATACAGGAATAATATAACACCGCATACAGGAATAATACTGCTTGTTTGTTGGTTTAACACCGCATACAGGAATAATACTGCTTGTTTGTTGGTTTAACACCGCTGCTTGTTTGTTGGTTTAACACCGTACACGGGAATAATATACTGCTTGTTTGTTGATTTAACACCACATACAGGAATAATACTGCTTGTTTGTTGGTTTAACACCGCATACGGAATAATAATAATACTGCTTGTTTGTTGGTTTAACACCGCACACAGGAATAATACTGCTTGTTTGTTGAATAATACTGCTTGTTTGTTGGTTTAACACCGCATACAGGAATAATACTGCTTGTTTGTTGGTTTAACACCGCATACAGGAACAATACTGCTTGTTTGTTGGTTTAACACCGCATACAGGAATAATACTGCTTGTTTGTTGGTTTAACACCGCATACAGGAATAATACTGCTTGTTTGTTGATTTAACACCGCATACAGGAATAATACTGCTTGTTTGTTGGTTTAACACCGCATACAGGAATAATACTGCTTGTTTGTTGGTTTAACACCGCATACAGGAATAATACTGCTTGTTTGTTGGTTTAACACCGCATACAGGAATAATACTGCTTGTTTGTTGGTTTAACATAGCATACAGGAATAATACTGATTGTTTGTTGGTTTAACACCGCATACAGAAATAATACTGCTTGTTTGTTGGTTTAACACCGTACACAGGCACATTCCAGGTATATATAGCAGCAAACTGTACATAATATGGTCCGGACCAAACAGTAATACTGTTTTTGTTGGTTTAAACGTGAAGATCCGGGTTAGCACTGGTTTTCAGTAACCCATGCTTGTCGCAAGGGGCGACTAAACGGATCGGTTGGTCGGGCTCGCTGACTTGGTTGACACCTGTTATCGTATCCCAATTGTGTAGATCGATGCGCATGCTGTTGATCACTGGATTGTCTGGTCCAGGCTCGATTGTTTACAGACCGCCGCCATATAGCTGGAATATTGTTGAGTGCGGCGTGAAACTAAACTCACTCACTCACTCAGTAGGGTGAATCAGTGGTTGATGTTATATCAAACGATCAAGTATTGGGGAGAGAATGACGTCTTACAACTAGCCTGTCCCGTTGCTGAAGATCAGTTCAGTCCCCGAGTGTTAGTGTTTATATGTTCCCCCAATCAACAACCAATTATAAAGCTGGGGTGGATACAGCTTTTTGAGATGGGTGTGTTTGGGGTGTGCGCACTTTTAAGAAAGGGGGGTGGGGTGGTGTGCACACTTCATTTTCACGCGAGTTTCAATGGTCTATCAATAAACTTTCAAGAGAAAAGTGTGGGGGTTGGGGGGGTGCGCACCCCTGCACCACCTACCAACACCACACCATTTTGTAGATGGTGCCGTCCAGTTACTGTCCTGAATGTTAAGAGTTCGGATTAACGGAGTCCGAACGGAATATGTTTCATTCTGTTCTTTGCATTGATTCTGGCATCAGTGCACATATCCCTGTAAAATATATTACATATATTTTTTCATAATTCTGACATAGATATTCGTCCGCATTTAGATGCACCGGATAGCTTCCACTGTAGCACAGACGGCCAAGTTGTCTCCTGCGCCGCAATACGCTGTGAGGAGTTGTGTCCCTTGAGTTGATGATATGATCCTTTGTTCTAATCTCGAGTCACCGTGAATACGATCTGTATTGGTGAAAGTGTAGGTATCAGTCCATTCCTATAAGGAAATGGAGAGCCTCCCCGAAGGATTTCTCTGACTTAAAACACCCTGACTATGCGACTTTGACAAAACAATTTTTTAGGAATATATACTGAGGGAACACAATAAGGGATCACATGAAAGCACAAGTGTTCCTTTATATATTTTTTTCCAGGTTTCTTCACAAGCTTTGTATCGCATAGCTTGTGAAGAAACCTGGATACAAATAAAGGAACACTTGTGCTTTCATGTTATACCTTATTTTTTTTCCTCAGTATATTTATGAAAACGAAGTCATAACTCCTTGTATTCTGCATCTTTATTGAGTAAGTCACCCGCGACAGTAGCTCACGGAATATCTGCCTCTCCTGCTCGCCAGGCTCGGTCCCAAACTGTTCTTGAAATGCAAAATGTACCCCCGTTTACAATTTCGTAAGGTCCGACAAAGTATTTTATCAATTAATATCATATTTTGAGATATAAGCCGCTCAATACCACGGACGGGGACACCAGAAATGCGCTTCACACACTGTACCAATGTTTGGAATAGAACCCTGGCATTAGGCGCGGTGAGCGAACACTTTAACCACTGATCTACCCCACTAGCCCTCATTTTGAAAACAGGCTTAATTAAGCATAAAACAAGGAGACATATATATATTTCTTACTGTTTGTTAGGTTTTTACATCAAGTCATTTTATCCTTTGACATGAATGAAATTATGGGTAACACAATGCTGCTGAGCTTGCGTTAATTTTAGTTATGCGTTAGTTTCTAAACTTTAAAGAATATAATGACAGTCGAAAATATCTATTACGTTTGGCTCAAACCATTTTAACACATGTCGCCTTAGCTGAGGTCGATTTTACAGGTCCTCAAAACATACTGTGCTGATTCGACAACTGGCGACACATGTTCAGCCAGTTTAAAATCATTCACTTGAGTGTAATACAGAATATGAATCATAGTTGGTTCAATTTAATACAACAGTTGACATTCCTGAAAATAAAGGACTGTTTAAAACAATACAATAACGTCGGGGATGTGTCTGAATAACTTGTTAGTACAAAAACATACAGTTACAGTCGTTACATTAAAGTGCCACTGATGCAGAGTGATTAATGTTTCCAGCCAACAGTCTAATTACGAAACCTAGCTGCAAACTGGTCAGCCCCTGCCCCTGCTCCCTCGACCGGACTTGGCTACTGTCCACCTTGGCAGAATTTCTTCAACCTAATCAGTGGGACATTAGGAAGGGCGGATGTCCATCAGATGCCGTTATTTTAAAATATCCCCGGCAGTTCTTGTTTGATTGTAATAAAGTATCCCAGCAGTGTAGGCATTTTCAGATTTATAAATGTTTGGATGGTATAGTGACTGATCCAAATTGATCCTATTTCTGTGTTTTTTACCTCGATATTTAATCATGTAAAAATATGATGTCTATTACGTATGCTATGATATCAAAAACACACATTTGATTTATTTGAATCCATAAACTAAACAACCCCACTTTGCCATTGCAAAAACAAATCTGAAATTGTACTTAGGTACATAGGTATATACAGTTTCTAAATAAGTACACAGCAAATGTTTATATATATTTCTTATGTAACAATGAAGTTCGATCCGTTCGTATCGTCAAAACAGTGTCGGCCCATAAGGATTTTTCAGACAATCACACTTGCATGCAATACAGCGATTTTACTTCTCTCTTGCTGTAACCCTTGTTTGGTGGTAAAACTACACATGTTATTTGTCATCATTCACTTGATGGTCAGTTAATGAATTTATTACAGGTATAATTAGTGATAACGCCACTCAAATTACCCGACTAACGTTCCCATTTGGTATTTCTTGTGTCTGAAGTAAATACTCATCATTATAAATTTAGGTCTGATGTGGCAAATGTATTACATCTTATGTAATATGTGCATGGAAGTGCAGCAAGAGGAATTATCAGCTGAGTTTCAAAACAAACATCGATCAAAGGATTAACCGATAACACGCTGATTGATTAATTGCTTTTATCCCGCACAGCGGATTTGTCAAAAGGTAGTGTTTATGGATGTAGATTCACTAATCTATACTTAATACACCCTGTCGTAAAGTTTCTTTGTAAAAACAACGTCCTTCCTTCAAAGGATTAATCGCCAAAACCTTTATTGGTAGCTCATTATTGGCTAACTAATGGCGGACATCATGCAATTACTTGCCAGGTGTGCTATCTTGGGTGACCAATAGGATACACCTATGTCAAAAACCTGAAACGATATATCACTTTTTCGCATATTAGACCGTTAAAAGACACATGACATGGAACAGGATTCTTTGTCAGCTGCAGATGAATGGCATCTCATTACTTTATGTGGATATTGATGGATACATTCCCCTAACAAGGTAATTGCCTGATATTGTTGCTATAACTTTAGTCTGTTTTAATTTTAATATTTGCATTTTGTTTTAATCTATTTGTTATGGCATTCAACAGAATAATTTTTTTGCCGTGAAAGGTAATGAGACCGACAACATACACTAGATTGCACTTAGGGCGTGTGTGTGAAATATGATACACGTCTAGATATTACAGTCATGTTATAAATTCACTAAGTATAAGCAGATCGTGTGTATTTTATTAAGTTTCAAAATGCATACAAATATGAAAATAAACTATTTAGGATTATAAGACAAAATATAAAGACGTACATTGACTTCGTTATTTCAGTCCTGACATTTTTTACCACTGGCAGATGGTTAAACTTAAAATGTTTTCATTTGTTATCAAAATAATGCCATTTAATACAACATTAAGATTGACTAGTAGTGAACCCAAGCTTACTACCCTCCCCAAGACTCCCCATGTACTTAGTTACTCTTACTTTCAAACAATGCTATTATATCAGGCTTCTCACCAAATTCAAGGTCAAACTATTTCTTAAATCAAATTCTACATCCATTTACGTTAACATTTTTATAAAGTCAACATTACTATGAAATCAAAATTTGACATCAAAATCAGCATTTTTATCAAAGGGAATATTTTTTTATAAGAAACCAAATTATTCATCACAGTCTACATAATTTTACAACAACATCAAGATTATCGAGTAAAAAAGATTTCATCTTTGTTAATCAGTCTATACGTTTTCTATCAATTGCGCATGGTGGTGGCGCAGCAGAGGTCATGAATTCTGGGATATCATCCGAAAAACAATAACAAAAGCAACAACCAGTCCACGGAAATTGCTCTGCATCAGTGGCCCTTTAAACACAGGCAAACTGAAGCGCAAATATGATTGCGCAACAGAGAGAAAAATAACCAGTCTTCCTATATGATCATTTTTCTCTCTGTTGCGCATCCCTATTTGCGCTATAGTTTGCCTGTGCTTTACATAAAGTTGTAAACATCTTTGATACTGACTCTGAGCCAGGTGAAAGAACTGAACCACTGTCCCGGGTCAAATCAACCCGCTGTCACCCACCGCGGCTTTTGGAATGCACTGCGTGTATAAGTATCGACATTGTGTGGAGCTTTAGGCAGCAGATGTTACCATTGTTGAAAGGCGAAATATGGATTGCTGATAGAGAATTCATGATCAAGGAAATGTGTGTTCTCAGCTACCAGCGTTCATGAAAGTAGACATCGTAAAACAGAACTTTAACTTACTTGTATATACATAACCGTGTTTTATTTATAACAACGGGACAACTTTCATTCACATTTTTTTAGTGACTATAATTGTGAATTGGTGCCAACTTATGTTGTTATGTTTTTAATATCATGTTAATATTCATATCTTTGAAGGGCATTTAGAAGTGGAATACATAGGAAAAGCAAGATTTTATGGATGTCAACTTCTGTATTTTGAATAACACAATAAAGTGTTATTGTGTTATTCACAATAAAGAAGTTGACATCCATAAAATCTTGCTTTTCCTATGTTTATATTCATATTTATACATAATTTGAAAGAGTTATGAACATAATATATTAATATTATTAACGGGGGATTGGTTTAAATCTATTGTAATGTATATAATTCAATCTGTATAATTACTACAATGTAACACGGCATGGTGAAATAGTTATCAGAACAGATACAAAAAAAGCGTATTTCAAACAAGACGTCAAAATCAAACCGAGTAACACAAGCGTAATTATAAATTTCCGCCATATCTATCACCAAAATGAGCCCTAATGTTACTTGTATTGAACAGACACATACAGAGTGTATCAAATATTAATCATATGGAAATATGTGGTCGCGTTAACCCGAGGTACGCTTACCGGAATATGTTCCATGATGGTCTGTCTCAAGGCCATGTTTTGTTTCTCGGTGTAGATGACGTACGCAACAACCCCCACAATTAGCAGTGTCCAGATTGGACAGGTTTTCCTCCTGTACCACGGATTCACTCCTCGGCACATCCTCATTACTCCCATAGGTTCCGCAGTCATTCAAAATGGCGAGCGAGAATTCGCACGTTGCGTGTGTGGTTCGTTCGATAGCCCCAGTATGTGTGACGGCTGGCGGTGTTTCGCATCTTGTAACATCGGAATATTGGGTACGTAGGTCCGATATACGTCTCTAAGACATGTCCATGAATATTTAAAAGAATATTAGTTTTATAAAACCACCTGGATTCAACTGGTAAAAAGTACATTGGGAGACGTTCCCTAGTTGTGAACTTTAATCAATAGTTATATATTCGAAGTTATAAAGGAATGAAAATAGAGAAATAATCATGTAGATATGCATTTTTCAGTAGACAGTGATTCGAACCCGGTCGTGTTGATGATTTGGAATAGCTACAAACTTACTAGACTAACGCCTGAATATACATGTATAGTGTGAGTGAGTGAGTATGATTTTACGCCGCTTTTAGCAATATTCCCGCAACATCACGGCGGGGGAACATCAGAAATGGGCTTCACACATTGTACCCATGAGGGGAATCGAACCCGGGTCTTCGGCGTGACGTGAGAACGCTTTAACCACTGGGCTAACCCACCGCTGTTATGTTTGGGAATATATCGGGCGTCACACACAGTACAATAAATCTTATATTGTGAAGCATTGTGAGTCCCCCGGGGGGTCATCTCAATTTTTAATCTCAATCGTTAATCCTCGCAACGACACGACGTCTTTGGCGTGACGAGCGAACGCTTTAACCACTAGGCTACCCCACCGCCACCGTATATAATTACAAAGTAATATATATAGTAACAAATAAACCCATTTAAATTGAAGAGGGGCCCAGTGAGTTGGGAGATTCAGGACCTGAGGACATCTAGACTTGCTTCATTTAGGGCTTTAGTATTGCAGGGAATAATGTGGTTTAGGGAAATAATGTAGTTCAGGGACTTACTGATGACGTTAAGAACTACAAACTTACTGGTGCGGCGTTAAGCAACTTTCAATGATTTTACGACGTTTGTGACACATTTACGAACCGTTAGATCGGTGGACACCAGAAATGGGCTTCAATGGATATATCCTGGTTGGGAATCGAACACAGGTTGTCGTCGCTTTAACCACTGAACTGACCCGCCGCCCCATCATTGATGCAAAACGCTCAGGAATCTAGTGAATGAGTTAAGTATGTATGACGTGTAGGAATCTGAGTGCCGTCGTCCAAAACAACCCCAGCCGTACGACGGTGTATGTGAAGTAGTGGCGGTACGATCACCTTAGCTCTAAGATCGCTTTGTATCACAGCACCTAAGATCTTTTGATAAAACAACAGTATGTAGGCCTCAAAGCTCTTACTAAAGTCCTCGTTGAATCACGAGATACCCCGATTAACCATTTACGAAGAAAGTGTTCTAGTACTTACAAAGCGAAAACAGGCCTTTCGGGGATATTAAAATGTACTTACAGTAAAGGCAAAAAATGCAAAGTATGCATTTCATTTGACTAGCAACTAGTCTCTGATATGAACATATTTTACCGAAAAAAATGTATATATAATGAAAAGGGGACCTGAGACTTTCTTCACTTTAAGAGACCCCGAAGCTGTGGAAATTTAGACTTGTCTGGCGTTAAACGTTATCATTTTTTATCACGCGGTTTCAGTTCAGGTACTGATCGGCCTTCAGGTGACTGTAGAGGGGCATAAAGGTCACATGTTGCTTCTTCTCTTCAATGACAAGACGAAATCATACATGGATATTGTATGTGCAGTGGGCCTTGGGTTCGTGCGTCCGTGAGGTGGTGGGGTAGCCAAGTGGTTAATGCTTTCGCTCGTCACGCCGAAGACCTGGGTTCGATTCCCCACATGGGTACACTGTGCGAAATAGCCACTCGCCCGCTAGCCCGTGGCTAGTAAAAATCCAGTCGGGTCAGTAAATCTCCACAGTCACTGGCCCGACTGGCTAGTGAATTTCCATGAGGTCATTTTGTAAATATAGCACTCTCTCTGACTTGTTAAGTTACAACACACTTTTAAATAATGCAATTATGGTCTGATAAAAATGTTCATCATATAAGCAGCTTAATGATGAAACTCGTGTCTATATATTATTCAAATTTGGTACTAGTGAATTTTGTGGGCTAGTAATTATCAGGCACAGCTAGCCCGACAGACTAGCAAAATTTGGAAACTATTTCGCACACTGCATGGGTACAATGTGTGAAGCCCATTTCTGGTGTCCCCCGCCGTGATATTGTTGGAATATTGCTAAAGGCGTAAAACGTAACTCACTCACTCGTGCGTCTGTATACTATCCATCGATATGTTGTAGTTGAGATTCGCTATTATTCATATGGCCTGGTCTGTGTTAGAATCAGGTCAGCGGCAACATGGGGCGATTATTTGGATGTGGGTTTGTGCTTATGATATCAATCGCTAGTTTGCCTGCTCTGTACTCTCCATATATTACAGACCGCTGTGAATATGATTAGAATATCGCCATGGTACTAATCAAACCAATAAACAAAAGTCTCAAGGTTACTCAAAATCAAATGTTTTCACCCCGGAGGGTTGTTTTTTATATAAATAACTAATCATTCAACGTTCAACAGCTATAATATGTACCTGTACACATGTGTGAACAGTCAGGCCATAAGCAGCAGTAAACAAAACATTTCTCAGGCTTACATTTATAAGAAGCTATTGAGACACTATGTCATTTAAAAAGTGGTCAAATCTGACACGTGTTATGTACTGTCCAAAAAAAGAAACGCATAGGCCAGAAATCTGTTGCGAATATGTTATATTTTCAAACATGTATAACTCATCCACAAATAGACTTTAGTGCATGAATTTTTACATCAGTTTAGAAGAAGGGAATGTCTATACAACCAAGTGGATAATTTTAGATAACAAAGACGTTGAGCGCGATGGTGACGACGTAGCACGATCCCGACGTCGGGTCTCCTGCCTGTTCCGTACCCTGGCTGCTGTGCTCTCACCCGTCATCACGCAAATGTAGTACTTGAGCTGCAGTGGTGACTCGAGGTCTGCCTGTACGGGGACGGTCATTTGTTATACATGTTTGGTTGTAACGAGCTGCAAGCCGTGATATCGTACTCAGACTAACATTCAGACGCCTGGCAAAAGAAGATTGGTAATCTCCAGCGTGCATTCTTTCAATGGCGATGTTCCGTGTCGCAGCGTCAAGACGTGGCGTAGTGATTTGACCTTGAAACTCCTTCAAAACGAATGCCGAAATCCGAAAGTAATATGGAGTTTATAGCCAGACAGCGCATGCTCTTTGCTGCACAATTTCAACTGGAAGGTGATTTTTGTTGTGTGGCGATGTGTGGCGATGTGTTTTTAATCCTTGTAAGAAATCTCATCAAAATCATCAAGTCGATTTTTTACTTGTGCAATTGTGTAAAATCATATTATCAACACTTTTGTTACCTATTTTGACGATTGTTTGAACACAATAGGTAATTGTTATATTGTATAAAATACAAAACGCATATGCGTTTCTTTTTGGGATATTTATATATGGGGGTTACGCTTTATCAGTAAAGTACAGATTTTCTACTTTTTTATTTTTTATTGGTTCCCAAGATTACAATATTGCAGACATACCAAGCCATGATACGTACGGTTTAAACTAATATGGCTACGTGATGTACAGGTGAGATATCTTTGTATTAATATATTTATAAACATGCATAATTCATTAAATAGATAATGTACAGATGATGTCAGGTACAAGTCAATACAGTTTGAGTCATCTAAGTACTGGGGAGAGAAGGCTCCATTTATGATGGAAATTATTTATTTTATTATTTTTTGCTGATATATGTTTTTCCACAAAGAATATTTCTTTTAGAGTTTTTATATAGAAAGTTAGATTTGGAAGCATATTTTTAATACTGCATAAGTGAATATGTCTCTTTGCAGCAATGACGATGTGATTTAGTAATCTATTTTCATGTTGAGTACCAAACCAAATCATGTTTTTGATAATTTCAATGGATGTGGATAATAATTGTTAAGCCAAATTTGTAGGTTTATCCAAAATGTTTGAGTCTCCTGACATTTTCTACTTATGTTAGGTTGATTCCCATCCGGGATTCGAACCCAGACATTCAGACTCAGGCACCTAATCACCAGCACACACTGTTACTGAGAAAGTGTAAACCCAGTTCCACACCAAATTTCACCCGCTTGAATACAGCTGTAATGATGTGATCACGTTCAGTATAAGTCGTCATGCTGGCACTAAATATTGAGAAGCTGGGCCACTTTGTACTACTGGATTGATCTCCGTTTATGAAACATAAAAAGATTTTACACAACATCATATTCAATACAGTAGAAATCACAGGGGCTGGTATCGCAAAAGAATAAAACTAACATCAAAGTATGTATTGTCACTGACGTGGTCTTAGCATCACATAAAAAATTTCTGATAAACTGGATGAGGTGGTTAGACTCGCTCACTTGATTGACACATGCCATCGCATCCCAATTGCGTAGATCGATGCTCATGCTGTTGCTCACTGGATTGTCTGGTCAAGATTCGATTATTTACAGACCGCCGCCATACAGCTAGAATATTGCTGAGTGTTGCGTTAAACAACCAACTTACCATGTCATGCTCGAAATAAGTCGGGCGGTGGGGTAGCCTAGTGGTTAAAGCGTTGGCTCGTCACGCCGAAGACCCGGGTTCGATTTCCCACAAGGGTACAATATGTGAAGCCCATTTCTGGTTTCCCTTGCCGTGAATATTGCGAAAAGCGGCGTAAAACAATACTCTCTCACTCACACGCGAAATAAGTCGATGAAGCGCTCGTAAAATTCAACGTTTGTCTGTGATGGTTTAGTTTAAGTTACTGTACTTTTCCTTGCATTAGTTCTGTATACCAAGCTTGAATGGAAAGTAAGTACTTGCGGTGTTCCTACTTATTTTATTGCATCTTTATGTTGAGATCATACGCACTGTTGTTTCCAAGTGATCTTAAAGAGTTGATCATTGTGATGATAGTGATCAATAACTGTAAAAACAAGGGGTGGAGTAGCGCACCCCCTGCAAACT